TAATATTCACATAGCTTAGTGAATACTTAATCATGTACAAGGAAAAAACAAGATTTTTGCTGGCACATGATTGGATGATTGAAGTGAATATTTACATTGCAAAGTGAGAATTATCTACTCCTTCAGTAAATCAACCCTATTAATTCATGATGAAATAGCTATTTAATTTATACAAAATGTATCCCAGAACAGGAAGACTTCTGTTACCTCCAAATAAGACCACATCCCACTTGCCACTTTTATATGTCAGTTGGTAATACTTGGTCACACATCAATAAGGGTTATGGATTTTTTTCAAACTGGATAAATATTGGCTATACCAGAAAGTGCTTACACATCTCTGAAACAGTTGACATACCCCCATGTACCTTTTACCTTCTTCCTACCTTCTTCTTCTTACCTTTTGGAGAAAGAGCTTCAATCATTTTACGTCTACGCTGCAACTCTTAAGTTATGTTGGGAATTTCTGTTTACCCTGTTTAGCTTTATTGTGACATAACTGTCCCGGACCAATCCACATTTTACTATACATGCCTATTGCCCTCATATATATACACTGTATGTACTGGAGAGGTTATCTACTAATAAGCTATTAAAAATGTAGCAGCAGGAAGTGGCAGGTGGAAATCACTAAAGAAGCCACACAACAGCCAAGTACCATTATAGTTATTTCATGGGATTACTCTGGACTATATAAGTAGAGGGATTGTACCAGCTATTGTGAACACAAGATTACACAATTTCATTTGCCATATGTCCTTGAACAAAATGTTCTAGGATGGTGATTTTTATTACTTATTCTGGTTTTTGTACTAAAGTGTTTAAAAACAAAACTTTTGGTTAAAATAGAGAAGGGTTAGAAAATAGGTTTTTATTGCTGTCCATTTCACTGCTGGAATATTTACTCTCTCTATTTGTCCTGCTTACCATTGTCACAGGGACAGAAAGTGAGGGAAATCCCCAAATTGTGAGTTATTACCAGAACTAGAGTAGAAGGGACTTCTGTTCTGATGACAACTGTGGAAGAGCAGATTCCCTTACTTTATAGATATTTACTCGATATTCCCATTTGGTCTACTGGACAGCCAAAATATAAAATTCTTCCCAATGCGAAAGGAATGGCTGAAAACATTGAACAGGATTTTAACCATTTTAACCATCTCTATCGGAAAAAAAAAGGGTTTGACTCTTTCCCCGGTCTTTAAACAATAGCTTCAGATATACTTTAATCCATCTCTGTTGATGACAGCTGCCATTTGGGTATCCTGACCTCATACTTTAAAATTGACTGTTAATTTCAGGATTGTTGGGATCTTAATTTTCGGAACTTTTTAATTCAATATGAACTAGGGCGAATACCTTTGAATTAGTTAGAATTAGCTGGATTTCACCCAGGTATCACTACATGCATTAAAGCCATCATAAGGCAGTAAAATAAAATAAGGATCAAAACTAAATCAGCTCCAAATAATTAAAACTAAAACAGAGAAATAAATATGCAGATATCTTAGGTGTATTTATAATACACCTAAGATATCTGTGTGAACATCTGTGTGAACATCTTTACATAAAAGACTATGAAAGATAGAGGTTTTTAGGGGCTATCATTCCGTTATGTTTAAAGATGAATAAAAATGCACAATAACAGCTGTTACAAAAGCAAGCTATGATTTACTTATACAGCTGAGTCAGCTTGATAAATGTCCACAGTAACATCACATATATTGCTTAATACATATGTAAACTCATTGGCTGGACAGTCATGATTGTTACTACTAATATCTGAAAATCTTCTCAATAGACTTTTTTCATTAGAAAAATATTCAATACATTTAAAGAATAACTTGCTTCAGGTTTTTAAAGTGAACCTGTGCACAGGCTATGCATACTAAAGTATTTACATTTTCTAAACAAGCAGTATTCATCTCTGCATCTATAGGAATTGTGGAGAATGTTTTTTTCAAAGTTTACAACACAAGCAGTGAACTCTCAGCTTTTATTCTATGAGAACAGAATCTCGGCAGGCTGCCAGACCTCTATTGTAAACAAACTGCAGTTGTTTCTAAGATGTTTCTAGAAGCTGTTTTATCCCTAAGTCCAACTGAAACTGGATTTTAGAGCCTGCGTTGTGATCATTGTGTATGTTTGAGAATGAATTACTTCATATTTAAAGCACCTGGAAGGGTGTGCAAGGCCTTGTTTCAAAGCTCTTTTACTGCTTGGTAGAATGTTGTTAAACAACGTTTACAGAGGCATACCTTATAAATACCCATCTCTGCTATGCCCTGTTTCTGTACAGGCTGTCTTTCTATCTAGATCCTGCATTAAAATAACGTGCCGCACATTTCCTCCTTTAAGGGTGGCTCCACTGCTGTACACGTACATGTCTCCAGAAGTCACCCTGACTACAGCTGAATGTGACATGCTACTGTACTGTGAGACATCCTCAAAGCCTTTTAGCACAAGCCACCCCCCTGCTTCTCCTGCTGCCCTATGATTGACAGTGGCTCTAGCATTACCTCAAGCTAGTGCTGAACACTATATCAGAAAGGCCAATGACATGAGAGTCACCCTCCCCAACCATTTGTGGAAGCACCACAATTTCGGTTTTTAATGTGATGGTTTAATACTACTTTAGGAATATGTAAATTGCTTAATGTCCATAGTTTCGGCACAGGTGCACTTCAACTGTAGAATAATGTTTTACAAAATAGATTACCTGCTTGAAATTGAACTATCCTGTTTGCATTAAATAGGTCATAGAATGAAAGAGAGAGATGGGAAGGCAGTTTTCAAAGTATTTTTTTTTTATAAAGGTGATTCGGTTTTTGGACAATTCATAATAAGCCGTATAGAGGCTATACTGGAAGCATTATAATAGAATTAAACCATGTATTAAAACTAAAATGCAGTAATAGATCTATGTATTAAAAAACACATCATAAATATTCATTTACAAATGATCAATAACTGATTGAAAAATATCACATTTCCTGCAAAGTGTTTATCACTGATTTTAAAAATATGTACCAAAAGTAGAACTCCAGCCAAACATTTTATTTGGAATGAGGAAGAATTTCTGCAGTGTTTTTGTTGGTGCCTGTGACCCTAAAAGGAAAGATTTCTCCTCGCTTTCTCCTATGTCACCAGGACAGAAAGAGAGGAGAACTTCTCCAATGAGGATATAAACAGCAGCATAAGCACTATTGATAGAAGAGGTGAGAAGGGTTAGAACCTCTGTGCCCATTGTAAAACTACATAAAAATTTGGCTGGTGGTTCACTTTAAACACACAGTGTGAGAAACAATGAAAGCAAGTTTAAAGTCAACCTGTCATTGATAAAAGAATAGGTTCATTTTAAAAGATACTTTAAATATATGCACACTAACTAGACCTAAAGCAAATGTTGTACCTTCAGTTATAGGAGTAAACTATAAAAAATACACTATAACATTCGTAACTGGAAGAACCATTTGTGGTGCCTACATTTCCTGCCCTATAAGTTCTATACATTTCCTGCCCTATAACATATCTCTTATTCTATTTCTTATTCTATTATCAATAAATATAATGGATGAAAGTTTGAGATACAATTTTCTAAAGTTTAGTGTTGGTGAGTGCAACATAACATATAACCCCCAATCTAAACTTTCCACACGTGGTCAGTACACAGAATATTTTTGGGTTGAAATGTAAACAAATGCAGGAGATCACAGCTTCCATCTGGCGAGGTGGAGTGTAGAGTAGTTTAGGTCAGGGGAGTGGGGGAAAAAAGTATAAGTGCACTTTGTTTTATAGTGCATTTAGCCTTCAAAGGAAATCTGCCATGTGGAAAAAATAGAGGCTCCAATTGCTGACCCCTTACTCTGAAAATGACAACTGCCTGGTTGTTAAGCTGTCAATCTGTTAAGCTGACCTCCTTTCTGCCTTACTGACCCAGAAAAAAGTATGCAGGTAAGGACTTTTGATTTCTCGCTGACTGATATGCCATCTTTTCAAAGTCCAAAACTCAGAAAGCATTGAATGTAGAGGGTCAACAGAGCAGAGCAGCTAGGAAACCAGAAGCTGGAAAGCAAAGGCAGCCCTTGTACTTCTCTAATGGCAGGTTTACTTTAGTCCAAGCATTTGCTGCAATGCAGTACCTTATAGTGGAATTCAGGGAAGATTTACTGTGTAAATTCTTTTTATTTATTTATGCTTTTAGAAATTGTAGATCACTTACCATTTTCATTGTACGTTTTTAAATGTCTCAATGCATTGTGAGAAAAGGGTTAGATATCATTAGGTTCTTCTACCACTACAACTTTCATCAGTTTGTTCTAATCAAGTTCAGTCCTAGAGAAGGGTCTGCTTAAGCTACTGAGCAATCAACCTAGGTCACTAATGGAAGAAATCACCTCTATAAACTGAACTGACTTAGGCTCCACTTTCCATATTCACCCTGAATGTTTTATCTGGGTGAATTAAACCCTGTTCTAGATTTACAAATTGTAGGATCACTTAGGTTATTAATTTACATAGACTCATTCTAGAGCCTTGTTATGCTACGGAGATAATGTATTCCTTGTCATTTAGGTTGGAATTCTGACAGTATGCATTTCCTGTTTTGTGTAAGGTGGGATCTAAATCTCATGTTCACTTACTTCTCTTTAGAGTCCCACCAGGGAGAGCTCCTCTATTCCACAGCACCCCTGTTATAGACTAAGTGCTGGACTCTCCATAACAATATACATAACATTCACTTGACCATTTGACAACAGCCTGTCACAGCTATGCTAGAGATGGTGATACCCCCACCAGAGTCCACTATCCACCAGAGTCCCAGAAACCTGCAACAATGCAATGCCCCTACCAGAGTCCCAGAACCCTGCAACAACAAATTCTACACCGCTCTACCCCAAATGCAAAAATGTAGATTTCTTAATTCTTTTTATACTGAACATCTATTCTCTTAATGACAGGTTAACTTTACGGTTGTTAAAACCCATTACAAATCAAACTTCATTAAACTAAGTAATTCTTTATAGTGTATTCCAAATCTTGTGACTTTTGCTCCTGGTTGACCCTGTGATCTTCTTGTTCTTTAGTTGTTGTCTGCTATTTTGACAGCGTAATTGTGGTACATTTTTCTTTAGTGACCGGAAATGCAGCCTTCCTGACAGACAAATAGAAGAGTTTTCACTCCGATTTTAAGGCATGTTTACTCCAACATAAGAGCGTGTGAGGTTTACATTAAGTTCAAGCTCCCCACAGCGCGCTCTCAGTTTTTAGATTTAATTGCACCATATGTTTGAAGTGTAGCTTCCTGTACTTCACTGTGTTTTACACATTAACAGGTCCATTCTTTATATGCAGTTCTTGAGGTTGGACTGCACCCATCATTTGTTTTCGAGAGCCGATGATTGTGACTCCAACTGTCTTCATGTCACTATATCAAGAAAAACAAACAAGGGTAATTAATATATGTTTAACATTCAATGGTATCTGTTAATTTTCTGCCATGAAGTGAAGAAACTAGAATTAGCTAGAAGAAGTAAGTACATTCAACTGGACTTGTTCTGTAATGTAGAAGATGTTTCATAACTTACCCAAACCATTTCTTCAGTATTAATGAGTGTCAGGAAAATGAGTCATCAGACATGTCTTCAACATTAAAGAACAAGTCTAGTTAAATATGACTAATTATTACTAGCTAAACCTTGACTTGTATAAATGAGAACCTTCACAGACAGAATTGTTAAAGAAAAGTTGTCAAGTCAAGGTTTAGCTAGTAATAATTAGTCATATTGAACTAGACTTGTTCTTTAATGTTGAAGACATTTCTGATTACTCATTTTCCTGACATTCATTAATACTGAAGACATGGTTTGGGTAAATTAAAGTCTTCTACATTACAGAACAAGCCCAGTTGAATGTACTAACTACTTCTAGCTAATTCTAGTTTTTTCACTTCAAGCTGGATTGCAGGAATTGGAATATGGGTGAAATAAGGACAGAACCCAACTTAAACAACAAATTTATAAAGCTAAAATACACTATGATAAACAGAAGGAATGCATATAACTGTAGGAGTGGTTCCCTTCATTATACAGTGTGCAGTGAATAGTGAATACTAGGGGGGTCATTCACAAAGCTGCCAAAAAAACAAACAATTTGGCGGAGCTAACAGTGACACCTAGCTCCGCCAAACTATTTCCTATTGGTCTGACACCTGCTAGAGTCAATGGCCAATGAATACCAACTGGGCGGAGATGGCCTTGACATCACGGCCACCTCCTCCCAGTTGTTATTGTTAAATGACAGATCAGTGTCCCCAGGTCATTTGGGGGAGCTGATCTGTCATTACAACTGGGCGGAGCGAGCTGTGAGATCATGGCTGGCTCCACCCAGCTGTCATTTGCAGGGAGAATGGTTGCCCTTCAGCTGGCCGTTCTCCCCACTTCAGTGTTCACTTCGGCTCAGTCGAGCCAAAGCATATGCTTTCGGCTCAGCTGAGCCCCTTGGGAGCCTTTGGCTGCTGTACGGGCTATTGTGAATAGCCCATACAGCAGCCCTTCAGTTCGACTGAACCGAAGGGCTCTGGCGGCCGAAGCTACGGCTGGATCATTCGGCTCTTGATGGAATAACCCCCTAGGTCTTGCTAGTCCAGGTTGCCTACCTCTGTTGTACAGTTTTAAGAAAAAAAAAAAGAGCCGCAAACAAAGTTTCACAAAGTCACTTTGTGTTTAAATAAAGCATACTAATTACAAGAGACGTGTAATTCCCACAAAGTACAATACATCAGCACAGCTTTCCTAAACTTTAGGCAAGTCCAAGGAACAATATAGTCATTCTAGCTAATAGAAAATAAAATGTCATCGCAGCAAAGCCTCAGCAATCCTTCATCAATGCCGAGCATATTTAGAGAGATGGTTGTTTAATGGGAAGCTCATTTAGGCAGGAAGAGTTTTACATAGTCATTTACTTAAAAACTCATCAGGTAATTATACTCATTAGTAGTCCAACAGAATGTCATTTTTTTCATTAGCTCTGGAGATCTCTGTGGTACAGTTGAATGCTCTCATGATGGAAGTCACTAAGCTGTTGATAGGACTATTTTCTGTAAGATATTCCCAGGGGGTCATTTGTGGACTTAAAACTCTAAGTGACCCGTGTGGGTTTTTTTTGCGTGTATTGCCATTTTCTGTCTATTATATGAACACTACTCCACACTATTTATGCAGTGTATGAACAAGATCTTTATGGCCATTACATAATATTCCAGTCAATAACGCTTCACCTCTCCTAACAGTGAGCTTCACCACACTACAGTAATATGAGCAATTTGATATACCTCCACTGCATCAGCCCAGTAAAGCTTCCTGTGTTATGCCAGAAAAGAAAACTTGATTTCATCTTTTCTTTATCCTATGTCTATGTCAGTGCTGTTGCTCTCCTGCAGTATCTTTGCAGCCACTTTGATTTACTAAAAGAACTGAAAATGTTCAATCAAAAAAAAGAGTCAATCTCCTGCAATGCCTGCATGGCATGTCTCAGGGCAGATTTTCTGTTGGTGACAACATTACATGTTGCCTATGTAATATGTGTTAAAAAACACTTGTATTACTCCAAAACACTTGTAAGCCCAAGTGACAGGGTGACAATACAGTAGCACAACTGGTAGAAAGAGATACAAGGTTGTCACATTAGACATTATTTTAAAGAAAGGTGCAGATTTAAATATTACTTTTTATATTACATTCACTTAGTGATGCATATGCTTTAACTCTTGGGCTTTAACAATGTTATCGTCCATCTAATAGGTGCAGTATGTCGATAGGCAGCACAAGATCAGATTGCAGAGGCATCTATAACATGATGTATTATTAAACAGTGTAGTATTAACCTGTCTTCTTTACAAATAACCTCCCTACCGCCTGCCAGGAAAATGTAGGGGAACCAATGGGCAATATGCCATTCACACTCTACTCTACTGTACACAATTTATTCTGTAGAATTTTAACGTTACTTTGACCAGACTTAGACCTCTGGAGTCTCAGAAAGGAGCCTGATTTTACTGCAATAATGTATACACATTTTCAGCACAGAAATTTTTTATGGCGCGCGTTCTCAAACCACACTTTCAGAACCGCTGACATTTATTCCAATATTTCTGAGTATTATAGTTTAAACTTGTCACTTGATCCTTTCTCTAATTATCCTTACTTTGCAGCTGACATTGAAGTAAGTATTTTGCTTCATATTTCTACTAATACTCCCTCTGTCAGCTCTCAAACTTCTGAAAACCCTTCCCTAAGGCTTCCTGGAAGACTGCTGTATAATCCTGGACAGAGATTTTGCTCATTATATATTGATAATATCCCTTTGTAACCCTGATTACTCATCACGCACAGAACATTCACATACTTTGAGTGCATGGAAACCTAGTTACGTGAATGGAGCATGATGAGTAACTTGCAGGGTTGTCTGAGGAATCGCAATGGTATTTAAGAAATGCCTGTGGTACTTTCATTTTTGAGGGCCTTGAAACCTTAACTACATTTAATGTGTACTGAGATATATATATATATATTAGCTGGAACCTTTTATAACTGAAAATATTTTAGCTCCTCTCTGATCCCCAGAAAAGGCATTAATTTCACCACATCTGGCATACTGCTTAGTATTCTATTTGAAGGACACTTTAGGCAGACTCTGATAAGCCTCCTTTAGCCTTGAATGGCTGATAACATGAGGTAGGCTTAACTCATATCTTTAAAATGTAAAAATGTAAATACAGAGCCTTTCTCACATATTGCACAGATAGAAGAGCTTTTGCATACCCTGTATATTTTTAAATGGCATTGCTTTAAAGGAAACCTGTAAAAAAAGAAAAAAAAAGTAGGCTGCCATTGCTGAGCTCTCTTCCCCAAAATCCTAGTCATGCTGGCCATCTGGTTACAAAAGTTTTAATTCCTACTCTGGAACAAATATGCAGATGACCTGACTTTCCAAACTACTGAAGCAAGTAGATATGCATAACACCAAGGAATTCAATTGAATGTATAGCCATTTGTTTTGTTTTGGATAGATTTCCTCTCACTTGTAGTTGCATTTAAGGGTCAAGAAGTGAAGGGACATGACATCCAATGACATCACAGACAGCAGAAAATAAGCTGACAGGTTTTTAACGCCTTACTACTGAATCCAAAACTACAACTTTCTTCTTTTTTTTTTTTTTTTACAATGCATGGACTTATTATTTCTGGGAGAAGGTCAGAAATGACAGTCCCCATATTTGCTCTATGATAGGTATATTTTATAAGAAACCTTCCATGAGACAAATATGTAAACTGCTATTGTTGACCTCCTTCTGAAGCCGGTTCTTTATGCTGAACCTCTGGCTACAGTAAATCTTAAGTCCCTGACTTGACCAAATATGGCACTGCACAGCAAGTGAAGTAAGAGTGAAGTCAGGACTGGGTTGTTCTAGGTCACATCAAAGAGAAACAAAGGTTAACTGCTAATTTTGGATAAGGGTTGCAAACAAAGGAAATATACTTACCTGATCCTCAATTCTTCCTGGCTGCTAGACTGGTCGCTGGGCTCCAGAGGTCTAAGGACCCATGACATCATCATGTCTAACAGATCTATTAGATGTGAAGATGCCGAGTGACATACCACAGCCAGAGCAGAAAGTGAGAGAGGTAAGCGCTGACTGCCGCAGGACCGAGCAGGTTAGTATATCTTCTTTATTCTGTTCCCTAAACCAAAACAAGCATTTAACTCTTGCAGTGCGTGGGTAGTCCTACTGTAAGGGTTAACTTTTGAAAATCCTGAAGTTGCGATTCTGGAGCTGCAATGACACTGTTCTACTATATGGTGGCTTGCACTATGCATGATTGCAGGCATTGATGATTCAAAATGAAATATAAATGATATTGACTTACTCTAATGAAATTTTTGCAATTGTTTCACAGGAGCTGTAGCTAACTCCTGATAAAATGTCCTTGCACTGTGCAGTCTGCATACCATCAAGCCAGTCTCCCGAGGGTCGGTATGTGGAGAAGTCTACATTGTTTTGATCCAATAGTAGATTTAATGGTCTGAAAAAAAGAAAGCATGTTATTTTACATGAACAAAATTGAACATAAAGATAAAAATAGGGGTTTTACTAGGAAATAATACTTTTTTAAAGAGTAACTCCACATTGACCGTTTATTTTAATTTGTTCTGCATTTTGCAGCTTTTCCGTTTACCACAATACTGGCTGATCTCAGCAAAAGTATAGTTACTCTTTAAAGGCAGCTGCACATTTAAAACAGGATCTTGGCATCTTCATGTTCTTTACTACAGGATGTGTACTTTTTGGAAATGTTTCCAAAGGTCACCATAGGCATGGATTTCAGATGTTTGCAAGTGATCTGCCTGACCAAAGACCTTTCTTTCCTCAGAAAAGATTCACAGAAAAAAAGCCTCATACAACATGTGAGTGTGCATGCTTATAAGAACTGCACCCCTGCCTTTCAGATATTTCAGTGGGCTGTTCGTTGAGAAATTCCAAAATAGGCAACACGCTTTTCCCTTATAAAAGGTCCTGGTTCCTAGAATTCAAAGTGTTATTTGTAAAACCCTTTCATCTGCACAGTTAGCTGTAAGATTGTAGTGGAAAGAGTAAATTCATTGCATGAAATTCAAGACCTGTTCCTTTCCAACTAAGCCGTGTGTTTTAGCACGAGAAAACTTGTGAACATGCTAGAAAATCTCCCTGTGAGCTGTGAGGACTATTCCTTTCATCAGCTGTGGAGAAACCATCATGCATGCTCCCCTCTCACAATCAACCTTGGCTCCACTTCCCCCCCAAGCCCCCCTTTTGGCTAGTCAGGCCACTCATCATATTTAAAGGAGAACTATGAGGTGAGTGATTTTTACTCATACTCATAGTTAGAGCCGATGTGTGACAATGGAAATGTCACACGTCAGCTCTATTGATCGGGAAGTGAGTGAACACATACCATCGCTCGCTCATTTTCAGATCAGCTTCATGCAGAGAGCAATGATGTCAGTCACAGCTCCCCGCAGGGATTCCCACCCACCCCTGTCCAATCCTCCAGTGCTGACTGGAGGAAAGGACGGGGAGGTGGCTGGCACTGCTGGCTCTGCCTCTAGATAGGCAAAGGCCGCTGTCAATCAGCCAGCTGGGTGGATCTTAACAGTATTTTCAGGATCCGCCCCGGCTGCGGCGCTCTTAGTATAAAGCAAGCAATAGCTCACTATATACTGAGCTTTGAGTCATGGGAGGAGGTTAGTATATGTCCTCCTGTGACCTTAAAGAGAACCATGGAATAAAGAGGTTACTCCATAGTTCTCTTTTAAGGACCAACAAGCTTGAATGACTTAAGGTAAAATATGCATATAGCATCAACTAATTCAATTGGTTCTACTATTCTTTATGACAGTAAATGTTCTGTAAAAGGTAACTTCGGCATATGCCTTTTACCATTATATTGCTCAACCCTAGTTCTACAATAGTATCGGGATCCACCTGGCTGCCAGATTGAGAGCTGCCTCTCTAGAGCCAGAGACAGTTGTGCCCACACCCTCTCCTGTCTGTCCCTCCAGTGAGGCTTGAGGGACAGAAAGGGGAAGGAGGCAATCTCTGCGGGAAGCATTGACTGATAACTCTCTGCTGGGAGGAGACTGTGACCTTTCTTGGTATAAGGAGCCTGAGAGCAGGCTCTAAGTATATTTTACTCTCCCAATACTTCTCCTTTAACCTGGGCTAACCAAAAATATGTATGGACCTCACTTCTGTGCAAAACAACTTGTGTGACCTGTTTGAATCAATTATGGAGAAAGATCTGGATTTTCTGGTAGGTCGTAGACTTAACAGAATGCAACACCAATCTGCGCTTCTAGAGCAAACAAAATACTTTTTGGTGTTAAATGAGGTACATAATCAAGAGAAAGAGATACAGGGGTTCATTTACTAAAGGAATAAAGCATTTTAACTTGGCAAGATGATTTTCATGTTCAAAGTTATTATAGTGAATATGATTAAAATTCCCTTTGCAAAGAATATAATTCACAAAAAAAGAAAGGAGAATTAAAAAAGAGGAACTTTTCTTGCACATGATTGGATGATTGAAGTCAGCATAGTTTCTTCACATTGACTAGCTAAGTATAATTTCCCTTCCAAATTGAACATGCTCTATTCTACTAGTAAATCAATCTTAGAATCTTGCTCCTGCACAAAACATTAGTAAAACCTCATCTTAAATATGCAGCTCAGTAGTGGGCACCAGTTAACAAAAAAAGGATGTTGCAGAACTGAAAAGAGCATAAAGAAATAGTTACTAAATTAATAAGGGGCATAAAGGACCTCAGCTACAGTATAAGAAAAGTTTAGCTAAATTTTACATATTCACCCTCGAGAAGAGGCCATTAGTGGGCCTCCTGTCACCTTAGTATACAGGTGAAACTCAAATAATTAGAATATCATGCAAAGTTCATTTATTTCACTAATGCAACTTAAAAGGTGAAACGAATATATGACATAGACTCATTACATGCAAAGCAAGATAATTAAAGCCGTGATTTGTCATAATTTTGATGATTATGGCTTACAGCTCATGAAAACCCCAAGAACCCCAAATCCACAACCTCAAAAAAGTAGATTATTACATGCAATCAATAAAACAAGGATTGTACATAGAACAATATCGGACCTCTGAAAAGTACAAGCATGCATATGTACTCAGTACTTGGTTTGGGCCCCTTTTGCAGCACTTACTGCAATTACTTTTGCATGATATTCTAATTATTCGAGTTTCACCTGTAAATACATACATAATAGACATGTGCGATTCCTTTCTTTCCGAATCGAAATTCGGACGACTTTTCGGAAATTCGGACATTCGGATGTATCTGAATTCCGAATTACAGATATAACGAATGCAAACGAATCCGAATTTCCGAAATTCAGTAGCGGTAGTTCGTTCGAACGTTCGTTTCGTTCCCGTTTCTTTTTCGTTTCGTTCGTTGAAGAAAAACATTTTTTCCACTCAAATGTCACTTTGCTGCAAACGAACGAATGAACAAAACGAAAACGAAACGAACGTGCAAATTGAACTACCGCTAATGAATTTCGTCCGAATCCGAATTCCGAATCCGAATTGACTTTCACACCCGAATCCCGAAAAACGAAATAACACAAATCCGAATTTAAAATGAAACGAAACTAAACAAATTTTTTGGCAGTGCACATGTCTAATAAATAGTCTATATCTAGTCTAATAGTCTATACATAAATAGTAATATTGGTGAAAAGTTTATACCTGGAGGAAAATAGTGTTAACCCCCTCAAAGGCTTCATTACAGTAAGAGCTGTATGAATAAAAATGGCTATTAATATTAATAAAAAATGGCACTGTAGTTTGTTTCTCCAGGGGAAAATCTAAGGGGTCTATTCACAAAGCTGCCGAAGGATCTGGCCGTAGCTTCGGCCGATCCTTCGGCTAGCTTGGGCCCCACGACCCCTTCGGTTCAGGAGAACCGAGAGATAGGGTATCAATGAGAATTTTTCCCTGTTGCTTTTAAAGTTTATTTTTATTCTTCTGGATGAACACAGGGTTTCAGGTTCTGCGGATGCAGGATTTTTATGAATATATTTATGTGTATCCCTATTGTCTTCTTCAGTGATTCCATCTCAATAAGCAAATAAGGACTCGCCTCTTGTCCCTCATTACACATAGTGAGCCACAATACAATGTATTTATTCTCACCTCAAAAGAAATGCCACACTTTGGAGCCAGCATCGTTGCATGCAGAAGTGACAACTAGCTAAGAACCCCTGTCTAAGCAAATATAAACCCACTTAAATTATTGATTAAGATGCTAGGTATGCAATGTTTACTTGAGATTAGACTTTGCTCCAAGCACAATTTCTATAATTCTCTGGCTTTAGGAACTTGAGCTTGAACTTGAACTTTAGGAACTTGAGTAGCAACATTTTTTTTTGACAAATAGTTGACAACCTTTTTTTTTAACTTGTAGTTATATATTTGCATTCATTTGTTAAATACTGTAAAAAGGTGATCAGCACATTGTTTTTCCCCTTCTTTTGTTTACTGAAAATTGTCTAATAAAAATCAAAGTTAAAAAAATATTTGACCAAACTTATATTAGCACAGGTTGTAACTAAATAACAGTTAAGGAAGGTAATTGTAATTTTAATAAATGTGTTTTGTAGAGTCTAATGACATCTGGAGAATTACACTCATTTTATAAATCCCAAATATTATTATTTATCAGGAAAAGGCCTAACCTCTTTAAAGATTTTTTTCTCCCTGAATGCGTTTTATGTGCTGGTAATATAACACCAAATAGCTACCGCTGTTAGCTAAAATAAGTGTATCACCTTTGGACTCATATATTTTGTTGGCAATACGTCTATGATTCCCAAGACATTTCTGAAGTATTTATGAAGTGTTGCAGTAGGAAAGAATGTGAGGTTTTACCTCAGTTTTCTCTATATTTATTTTTTAACTGGTGTTACTGGTCTTTGATTAGCTTTATCTGAGGCACACGGCTTTAAAATAAAGGAATTTGTACTACTTCATTGAGAAAGAACAGATTCCACAGATTAGGGATTTACATAGTCAACGTTAAGCCTTCATGTCCATGACTTGGATAAAAGAAGCAATGAAAAAGAAAGGGGGCCTAATTTAAAGGCCCCTAACCTCCGAATAACCAGTGATGTGAAGTATTGTTTTACTTTTTCCAATGTTCCTCAGAGGAATCAAAGTCGAAATTGGTTACTTTCCTCCTCAGAGAGGACATCTGGGCAGTTTATCAATGAAGAGGAATGTGTCTGAAAGTGGGAAGCGCCTGTGATGTTTCCACATATGCACTGAGGGAATGTGGGCCTTTAAGATCAGCTGCAGTCACCGGCATTTTCTTGGACCAAGCTCCCAGTCAGGGGTCCAAGACTAAAATTTATGGGCCGGGTGATGTTCACCATGAGCTCACACTTAACTAAACAAATTAGATGGGTCTCCATTCAGGCAGCTGTAAAGAAGCCCTGCCGAGCTCCACCTGATCTTTT